GATTTGGAGTCTGAGGGGAGTTTTGGGGGGGATTCGGGACTGAGGATATGTGGGGTTTGAGAGGGATTTTGGGGGGTTTGGGATCTGAGAGACAAAGGCATTAAATCCCTTTAAGGTGCCCCTTTCCCTGTTTGTGTCCCTGAACCCCTTCCCTCAGTGCCCAGGCAGGAATTTCGGGATTGGGAACGTTCTCTTTGGGATGTGTGTGATCCCAACCAGCGCTCCCAGACAAACCTCGGGATGGGAATTCCTTTTTTTTCCCCCCCCTCCAGGAGCCGTGTCCCAAAAAAGCCACCTTGGCCAAAGTGGTGCCGACCCCCAACAACGGCTCCGTGGAGCTGGTGCCGCTGCACCGGGATCAGGTGAGAGGATCCGCAGGGATCGGGAATTCCGGGAGGTTCCGGGAGCTGCTGCCGGCTCAGGATTCCTTTTAGTCCCGTTAATTAGCAAAAATTACGGTTTTAATCACATTAATAAGCAAAAAATCAGCTGGGATGGGTCCGACTGGAGGGGGGTGTTTCCTGTCCCCAGCAGGGACAGTTTGGGATTTTGGGAATGAATTTGGGAATTCTGCCCTCTCGGAGGTGAATTATCCCCGGGGGTGAAGGTTTCTGTTGGATGATTTTGTACCTGGATAATGTTCAGTTATTTTATCCTTTCCCCCCTTTCCCAGGGCGAGGACGGGGAGGAGGCTCTTTCCTTCGAATTCCAGAAGATCAAGTATTCCTACGAAACCAACGGGAAGAGGCAATTCCTGCCCGTGGCCTTCCCGGTGGAATATCCTCTGAGCTACTACCAGAATTCCAGAGGCTACCAGGAGGACAAGGAAATCCGGGCAGCAGAGAAGAAATACGGCACCAATAAGTGAGTTTTCCGGGGGGGTTTTTTTGGGGAGCCAAAATATCCCCGTTTGGCAGGAAAAACTGGGATCAAACCGGAGTTTTAGTCCTGGAGTTGGAATTTTAGTCATTCCCAGGGTTCGTTTCAGATTCCTTTTAGGACAGAGAACGGCTGGATTTGAGGAATAAAGTTGGGAAGAGAAATAAATAAGGATTGGGGAGAGGAAGGAATAACGTTGGGAATGTAGGTTGGGAAGAGGAAGAAACAGGATTGGGAAGAAAAAGGAATAAAATTGGGAAGAAAAAGGAATTGACTCAGAGTAATTAAAAACCAGGAGATTTTCCTCTGGAAGTGGCTTTTTTTGGGATGGCATTTTGCTGAAATCTTGGAATGCTCAGGGAAACAAGGATGGATTTCCTGGATTTCCTTCCCAGGGCTGAGATGGTGGTGCCAGAATTCTTGGAATTGTTCAAGGAAAGAGCCACAGCTCCCTTCTTCGTCTTCCAGGTAAAGTGTGGAGACAGAAAGGGGGGAAAATTCCCTATTCCTGCTAAAAAAACAGGAGCATTTATGGATTGAAAGCCAGGAATGAGCTGGGAAGATTCCAGGAATCAGGAATATCTACTGGATTAGGCCTTAATATTGATTTATTCCTGGGAGTGGCCCTTTTGCCCTGGGATTTTTCCAGCTTTCTGGAATTCTTTAAACAAGATGATTCCTTAAAATTGCTATTTCAGTCCCTAGAAATTCCTGGAATTTAAGGAATCCTGGCATGGATTGGGACAAACAATTCCTGACCCCTCGGGTGTTTCTGGGAGGGAGATTTCCCAGAGTGAAACATTGAAATTATCCTGAACAAACAGCAATAATTCCTAGAACTTAAGGAACTCTGGGCTGGATTGGGATCATTCCTGTCCCCACAGATGATTCCTAAAATTTAAGGAATTCTGGGATGGGTTTGGGACAAACAGTTCCTGACCCCTCGGGTGTTTCTGGGAAGGAGATTTCCTGCCTTTCCGATTTTCCTCATGAAATACTGAAATTATCCTGCATAAGCAAAGATAAATCCTGGATTTTAAGGAATTCTGGGCTGGATTGGGATCACTCCTGTCCCTCCAGGTGTTCTGGGTGGGGCTGTGGCGTGGGGACAGTTCCTGACTCCCCGGGTGTTTGTGGGAGGGAGATTCCCTGCCTTTCCAGTTTCTTCTGTGAAATACTGGAATTATCCCGAATAAGCCAAGCCGAGTCCCAGATTTTAAGGAATTCTGGGCTGTTGCAGGTGTTCTGCGTGGGGCTGTGGTGCCTGGACGAGTACTGGTACTACAGTGTCTTCACCCTGTCCATGCTCGTGGCCTTCGAGGCCTCGCTGGTGCAGCAGCAGCTGCGGAACATGTCGGAGATCCGCAAGATGGGCAACAAGCCCTACATGATCCAGGTAAATCCGGGAATCTGGGGGGATTTCCCTCCTTTTCCCCTGTTTTTGTGGCTAAAACATCCCTTTTTGGGGGCATTGCAGGTGTACAGGAACCGCAAGTGGCGCCCGATCTCCAGCGACGAGATCATCCCGGGGGACATCCTGTCCATCGGTATCCGGGGCTCATTCCCAGGGATCCGGGGCATTCCCGGCGTTCCCGGGGGTTGGGTTGGGTTGGGTCAGGGTAAAACATCCCACGGGTGCCTTTGTGGGATTTTAATTCCCATTTCCAGGGTTGGATCTCTTGGAGTCTTGGTTTAAATCCCCTTTTCTGAGGAGCCAGGAGAGAAATCCTTGGGCTGGAATCTCTTAATTCCCATTTCCAGGGATTTTTAATTGGTTTTAATTGATTTTTCAGCTGATTTTCAGTTGATTTTTCATTGATTTTAATTCATTTTTAATTGATTTTTCATTGTTTTTGCTTTTGAATTAATTTTTAATTGATTTGATTTTCAATTTATTTTTCATTGATTTTAGCTGATTTTTAGTTGCTTTTAATCGATTTTAATTTATTTTAATTGATTTCTCATTGATTGTAATTGGTTTTTGAATGATTTTTCGTTGATTTTAATTGCTTTTTAATTGATTTTTAATTGCTTTTGAATTGATTTTTCCTTGATTTTCGTTGCTTTTCCATTGATTTTCCCCTGGAATTTTTCCCCGAGGTGGCAGACGGTCCCAAGGAGGGCTCTTTGCTGGTTTTTTGGGGCTGATTTGGGTGTTTTTGGGCCAGGCCGTTCCCCCCAGGACAATCTGGTGCCCTGTGATGTTCTGCTGCTGCGGGGCCGCTGCATCGTGGACGAGGCAATGCTGACCGGGGAGTCCGTGCCCCAGATGAAGGTGGGGATGGGGATGGGGACAGGGCAGGGAGAACCCTCAGGAACCTGGGAGAACCCTCAGGAATTGGGGAGAACCACAGGAATTGGGGAGAACCCTCAGGAATTGGGGAGAACCCTCAGGAATT